TCATCATGCACTGACTTTTCAATCATACTTGTAATCTCTCTGTGCCCTGTGTTGTCAATTGTTGCATCATTAGAATATTTGGATCCTTGCTTGTTTCCAATCCTGCCAATTAAATAATTGATTTCTACCACTAAATTTTAAAAATTTTCTTATCTTGAGCACACCTTTAGTACCAGCACTCAGGAGACAAAGGCAGGCGGATCTCTGTGAGTTCCTGGCCAGCCAAGAGCTGCATAGTGAAACCCTGTCTCAAAAACAAAAACAAAAGCAAAAGCAAAAACATTTCCAATCATGTCGATGTGTTTGCTTTTGCTTGCCGTGAAAGAACACCATGATTCCTAACTGAGCAAAAATAAGGGGTTTTTTTGGTTTTCAATTTCTCAGATGTAAATCCAGAGTCTTAGTCTCGTATTCTGAAGCCTGTGGTGGTGAGTGCAGGCTAGAGCTAAGCTTCTCATCTCCTGATGTCCAGGCAGCAACTAGAAGAAGGGGTCCTACAATCCACTTTAAGTGTATACTGTTAGCATTTAGGCATTTTTACTGGCCTGCCTTTGGAGTTCTGACAGGATATGCCCACAGCTCCTGCCACTAAGAGCACCACCTGTGCACATCACTGTGTTCCCTGTTAAAAGGGCCCTGCCCACCTTCCATATCTCTCTCTCTCTCTCTCTCTCTCTCTCTCTCTCTCTCTCTCTCTCTCTCTCTCTCCCTCTCCCTCCCTCCCTCCCTCCCTCCCTCCCTCCCTCCCTCTCCTTTCTTCCACTGCTCCTGTCCCCAGAGGCTGGTCTCCCCCTTTCCCTTTCCTCTTTTTATGATCCTTTTCCCTAATTTAAAAACAAAACAAAACAAAAACCCTCCACTTGAACTCTGTTGGATAGCGTCTTTCTCACACTGCTTTTTTAAAATTACAACACACACCACAGTTGCCTAATTGTCTTCCATAGACCTCACTTCTTAGAGGTTCCATCAGCTCATAGTAGCATCACAGGGTGGTGGCCAACTTTTACTATGGAAGCCAGGGAGAATGTTCAAAGTGCCTTATTCCTAGATTATTCTTCATTATTTTAAAATTGTCCCAGTGAATGCTTGTTTTTTCCATTCAATCAGACCCAGGTAGCCATGTGACTTTTCTCCTTGGTGAGCCTCTAAACTGTTGAAGTATCATGTGTAATCTGAGTACACGAACCACTCTCAGAATCTTGGAACACAGGCTGTAGAGGCTGGTCATCCATGTGGGGAGGAGCAGAATTACTCAGCCCCTCTCCCCAGCTGGGTGGTTGAAAAGGTAGCTACAGGCCTCAAGGAAAGAGAGTAGACATCTTGGATTCTCACTGATCATCCTTATCATCATCGACCTAATGCTGAGCCACTGTAATAAAGGTTTCTGTTGGTCTATTTTCAGTTTAGACCTTTGTATGTTTAAAAATAATTAAAAAGTATTATTTTAAATTTTTAATTTTCAGTTCAGAGTTAATTGTTCTTTTTAAGCATAATTTTAATTTAAAAAATTTTAAGCCAATGATTCCAAAAAAAAAAAACAAAAACAAAACAAAAGAATAAACAAAAACAAAAAATAAAAAACCCATTCCTATAGGGGACCTTGATGATGGTATATGAAATAATAATCAAAATGTGGCTTTATGCAGGAAAGAATATCCTAATTGTCAGAAAAATATGTAGGAAGGAAGAGACAACTCCTAGAAATTGCCCTTGTAAGTCTAAACCAGGAAACTAAAGACAGACATTTATGAGCCACGTAAAAAAATTCTTCATCAAACAGAGACAGCTGACCCAAGCTAATGGGAGCTCACAGACTATGGACTGACAGCTGTGGAACCTGCATGGGACCAAACTTGACTCTTTTAATGTGGGTGACAGTGGCTTGATCTGTTCAGGGTGGGGGCTTGGCAGTGGTACCAGAATCTACCTCAGGTGTATGAACCAGCTTTTTGGAGCCCATTTTTATGGTGGGATACCTTGCTCAGCCTTGATATTGGTGGGGGGGGGGTCCTGCCTCAACTTGGTATGCCAGACTTCGTTGACTCTCCAAGGAAGGCCTTACCCCCTCTGAGGAGTGGGTGGGGGTGGGAAAGGGGGAGATGGGGGACAGGAGAAGGAGAGGGAGGAGGAACTAAGTTTTGTATCTAAAAGGAAAAATACATTTTGAAATTAATACATAAATAAAATAACGTAACAATAAAAAAAACTCATTGTGATTTCAGGATATTTGAAGGGATGTGAGAACAGCAGTGAGCTCTTAAGTTTCATTGTGTGTATGTGTGTAAACATATGTGTATGTTCACATACGTGTGTGTATGTATGTGTATGAATATGTGCACATGTGTGGTACATATGTATATGAGTGTCTGTGCACACTTGTGTATGTACATAAATCTGTGTGCATGCATGTGTATGTACTTATGTGTGCGTGTGTGTGTTTGTGTACCTGTGTATGAGACATATGTGTCATAGTATGAGTGTGGAAGCCAGAGACTAAGCTTGGTTGTTGGGGTTCACCATCACTTTGTTTGAAACAGGGTCTCCTATTAGGCTCTGCATGTCAGGTGAGCTGGTCCACAGAGTTCAGAGTCTCCTGTCTCCACCCCCCCATTTTACCATGGGAACACTAGAATTGCAGATGTGAGATATTGTGTTTAGCTTTAGTTGGGTTCTGCGATTTCAAACTCGGGCAGTTAGGCTTTTGTGATGAATGCTTTAACCACCGAGCCATCTCCCAGACCAGGATTTACTCTTTCCACAACTGGAGTATAACTAACTGATACCTTTAACGTTTCCTCCTGTCCCTCACTGAATGGGTCAAAAGAGGAGCTGTGTAATTATGGGAACACTTTCTCTCCAGTACTCCCCTTTAGCCTTCCAGCCTATGAACCCTGAGTGCTGTGAAGTAAATTGATTAAGCCATACTGGGAAGCAAAACTGAAGCTTCTAGGGACAAGCCAGCTATGACCCTATTCAGAAGAGAAGATGGATTAATAAGACAGGGTCTGTCTGCCACAGACCCCACTCTCAGGGAACGTCTGAAAGACTCCGGAAATCTATAATGGCTGATGTGACTCCCATTGATACGTGTGTGAGGCCAGTGACAAGTGTGTTTTTGTAATGCTATTTGAGACCCATATATATGTGAGAAAGCTCACTTTAGAAACAGTAGAATGATGGACAGAGAATTTTGGACATGATTGTAGGAACAGCAGCAGTATAGATTCAGGCACAAACACACACACACAGCTGTAATACAGGATTTCTCATTCTTGGGACTGACACTGAGGGGTGACTCTTGTTCTGAGGGTTAGTCTATGCTATGTGGAACATTAAGTAATGTCCATGCTGTCTCCCTACTGAATGCTAGTAGTATTCCCCCTGGCAGTTATAAACCAGGAAATGTCCTCAGAGCTGGCAGCCAGGCAGAGGGAAGAAAGATTCTCACAGGGTTCAGAGGAAGCATGGCCCTCCTCACACCCTGAGTGGTAGTTTGACTTGCTTTGGTTTAATCTGGTCTGATCTAGTCTGGTCTACTCTGATCTGGTCTGGTTTGGTTTGGCAATGCTGAGAACTGAACAGCCCAGGGCCCGATGCATGCCAGGCAAGTGTTCCACTATTCCACTCACCCCCAGCTCAATTTTGCACTGCTAACTCCCAGAACTGAGACACTTAAGTTTCTACTGGTTTAAATCACTCTGGCACGGTAGCCCTGTGGAGAACCAAGAACAAGCACAACCGCTCACCTGCATAGATGTAGAGGAAGCTATGCCTCGAAGCCTGGTGCCCCTTCCATACAGTCTCGGGTCTCTCCAGGGGTGTCACGGGTGATAGATATTCAAATTCTGCTGTACCTGGTGGCTTCTCTCCTGAGATCTATCACTCCTCCTCAGCTAAAAGCTAAGGACCATGACTTTGCTTCCAGAGTGAAAAATGAAAGAACTAAGCTCTTCCACTCTCAGAGGACATCTGTCAGGGTGCTCCTGTCCCTCCAGATTCCTCTTTTCATCCTTGTCTCACAGAGCCAGGGGACACGGCTTGTGTTTCCCTAGTGAGAGGTCAAGTCCATGGTGTAATCTCTTCTCAAATATCCTTATGCATGCAATGTTATGTATTTCCAGTTATCACAATCCTGACCAGGAAATGTGTCAGTGTGGTGTATCCTCCTCATTAATACTGAGTGTCTGTAGGCGGAATGGCTTAGTTCATTAAATACATACATGTAAGTCTTCTCTTCTAAGAGAATTGACTTTACACTTAAACGGTCTTGCATCAAAATACACTAACACTGTCAATACATTTGGGATGGCAATGCTTCAAGACATGACAACGGATTATACCACATTGTGATTAAAACAACTGGCCACATTCAGCTCAGGGTGTTTTTGGTTTTCATGACAGTCTTAATGACAGTTTACTGTTCCAGGCAGGTTCCATCTCATTAAGACCCGGATAATCATGGTTTGAATTAAGAACTATTAAATAATGGGCCAGAAGAGGCTAAATCTAAATTATACCATGAATTTGTAAGTTGAGACTGGAAAGTGGAAAAGAATGAAATAAGGTATGGGAAACATAAGCCAGTTGGTTTCCTATTGGAACAAGAGTAATGGTGAATGCAACATTTTTTTAATTACATTAAAAATTACCATTATTCCAAAATAAGAAGAAAAGAGTGTGTACTATTCCTGTCTCACCATCCAGACAGCCAGAGGGCATGGGGGTTTTGTGCTGATCTGGGTGACTTGAGAAGCCATGGTCTGGTCACGATGAACATAGCCTCCTCTGCATAAGGGCAAATCAGTTTTCTTCTTTTAGTGTGGGGAACAAAGTAGCATTGTTAGACCCTATGCGAACCACCCCAGCCTTATGCGAACCTGGCTTCCCCAAGCCTCCATATGGTCAATACAACCCTGGGTATCGGTGCTTATAGATGCCTGATTGCCAGGGGGTGGAGGGTCTGGGAATGGAGGCTGACTGGTGCCTTCTTGCCCTCCTAGGAGCTGAGGTGACATACATGAACATGACTGCATACAACAAGGGCCGGCTACAGTCGTCTTTCTGGATTGTGGACAAACAGCATGTGTACATCGGCAGTGCGGGTTTGGACTGGCGATCCCTTGGGCAGGTAATCTTCCCACCATATCTAAACTCAACAGCTATGACCATCAAATGTCTGCCTCCAGAGAGCCTATGACACCTATGACTTTTTTTTTTTTTTTTTAATTTGGGATACCAAAGACTGACTTCTGCCTGCTCTCTACCATTGAGACACATTCCCAAATCCAGGGCATTTAGCTTAGGCTGTGAAACCTGATTACATGGGAAATCCAAGAAATAGTAAAGCTGATTACACTGTTTGCATGACCATCTTAACTGATCTCGAGGCATTTTATAAATGTGGCTGGAAGTCTGGCAAAAACTCACTCTCCTCAGAGGCACACCTCATCCACACCACAACCAAGGCGTTTTTACTAGCTTCAGTTTTAGAAGACAGTTACAGTCAGTAATATAGGTTGGATTATTGTTGCCAATATGACAGTCTCACACGCCAGCTAAAAATGGGAACGCAGAGAAAATGCCACAACTCCCTGGAGAGGAAGACACCATCAAAGAAAACATTGCTTATTTTATGTCTCTTCAGGAAATTAAAAAGTGCTGTCTAAACAATTAAAAATTGTTCTGGGGAGGTTGGAGCAGGAGCATGCGTGTGTTGATGGGGAAATGATTAAGCCATATGATGTTCCCCATATGGGCTTTCTTATGGAAATATGTGTTCCTCTGCTGGCTGTAGATTTAATAGCAAGTAAAATCCTTGTAGATCAGAGATATGGGCCCAGATGGAAGAAGGTTTTCCAAAAGGCTACCATTTACATGCCAGACACTGTGCCTGTGAATATTTTTAAAGATCTTATTTTTATTTTTAATTGTTTGTGCATGTGTGTGTGTATGTGTGTGTGTGTGTGTGTGTGAGAGAGAGAGAGAGAGAGAGAGAGAGAGTCAGTAAGTGTGTGGAGTGTGTACAGACAGTTGTGAGCTGCCAGATGTGTGTGCTGGGAGCCAAACTTGGGTCCTCTGTAAAAAGCACTGTATGGTCTTAACCACTGAGCTGTCTCTGTAGCCTCTGATTGTTTCTTCATTTGTCATAACAATCTAATGGTAGACATTACTCTATCCTCCTTTATGGTAATCCCAGAAAAAAAATAAATAAAGCAAAAAGATCCTGTTCCTGCCCTTTCCTCATTCAAAACAATAAAATATACTCTAACCTGGTTAGGGTTGCCTCTCACAGTCTTAGATTAACAGTTACATCAGCCTAATCCACATCTTTCATTTCATTGTTAGTGGTTTGGAGCAGTCATATCAATCAACCCAAAGTCACACTTTTGGGGTTGTGTTTGTTTGTTTGTTTGTTTGTTTTGGAGGGGGTGTTGTTGCTTTTTTATCTTGTGGCTTTAAAATGAAACTCTTAAAAACTGAAACAAATCTTGTTCCTATGCCCTAGGCTGTCTTCCCCATGCTTCACCTGGAGCAAACTGCACTCTGTTAATGCAGCTGTAGAAGAGACACCATTTGGAAAGCAGAAAGGGTTTCAGATTCTGTGACATGAACATTTACCCCAGTTGTTTCCTGGCATCGGCTGCCACTCACCCAGGACTTCTTTCTCACTTGCATCTATCTAGTCCTACCTCCTTTTCCCCACCCCTGAGCACAAATACTGCCTCCTTCCTGGCCCATCTTCTCCCAGTTCCGCTGCCATGTTACTGTATGTGAGGGGCATAGTAATGAACCGCCGAAATGGCTGGTTCATGGTTGAGGGAAGGTTCTTATTGTGGATAAGAGAGAGGAAGTATCTAAAGGCATTTGGAAGCATCCAGAGCAGAGAGAAAAAGAAGAGGACTGAACATGGCCAGGGTTACCTGTTCGAGAAGGGAGAGTGGTAGGAGAGAATAGTGGAGATAGCAAGAAAGGGAAATGGTGGGAGCAGCAGGGACAGGGATAAAAACCTTGCCTATAAAGGGAGCAGGATCAGAGGCTACAAGGGCCAGGAGGCTGCTGTAGAGGCTTTGAAATGTGCAACCGGTACTTGTGAATAGGGACTGAGGAAGCCTGGAGGCAGGCATGGACTTCACTATACTGATAGGTGCTACAGGTATATGTCAGGGGAAAGCTTTGTGTGCCTTTTTAGCAGAGACAAGGGAAATGATGCCTTTTGGCAAAGGGGAACCTGTTTCATAAGTTCATGAGGCACCTTTGCTTTTATCTAACAGCCAGAAATCTTTGTATAGCCCAGTTTGAACTGAACCTAGACTGTTATTTCCAGACATACGTTCTTCCTAAAGCCTAAAGGTTACTCTACACTGTATTGTCTTCAATGAGTGTTCCTCTCAACCGTAATACATCTTCCAAGAGTTGAGTTCAGCTTGTGCTACAGCTTTAGATTTTGTGAAGTTTTTCAGTGAAATCCATGATTATTGCTAATAATCATCATCATCTTAAATCTATGCCAAGTAAAAAAATAATACAGATGCTTTTCTTCCAACTTCCATGCATTGTGGGCTGTCTCTGTCTGGCTTTTAAGCACATGAAAAACAAGAACTCATTCCATTTTCACCATTCTCTTGCTTATAATTAATTCTGCCATCAATCTCATTCTACAGAAGAGAGACCATAGGTCAGTTTGAGGTCGTGTGACCTTCCAGGAAATGGTGAAGATAAAATTCAAGCCTATGCCCTTTAATACTAAACTTTCCACTATTATTTTACCTTGCCCACCAATGATTTTTTAAAAAAAAAAAAAATAAGCAAAAAAAATCATTTTTTTACATTACTTTGTTGGGGTGATAAAAATCAACAATGCAATTCTTTCAGAAGTCCTGTTCACTTCCATGCAATGCAAGCCCTTGGTGGCCTGGTGGCCATGCAATAACCATGCCTGAAGCTCTGCAAACTCCCTCTATCTCTGTGTTGGATTTCAAAGACCAGGAAGCCCTGTGTGTGTGTGTGTGTGTGTGTGTGTGTGTGTGTGTGTGTGTGTGTGTGTGTGTGTGTGTTTACTTCTTTCTGTGTTCCTCACCTCCTGGTGTTCCTTCAAGGACTGCCTTAGAATTCCTGCCCACATGAAGTCCTGTGGGAAGAAAGAGAACACCTCTCCATACTTCCCACTTCATGAGCACCTCAGAAGCCCAGGGAGGAAAGGAAAAGTGCAGAGAGAACAAAGGGAACAAAAGGCCAGCCAGTGAGACAAGCTGAAAGGAAAGCTCACAGCAGCCACAAAGGCTTTGGAGGCGGGATGTGAAATGGGAGAAGCTGGGGAGGGAAATATGAAAATCAGGCTTTTAGAAAAGTTACATTTATAATCTTTGAACAACCCTTCTTAGCTTGGAGTTGAAAGGTGCGATTCAATAGGTCCATTGACATCAAGAACCTGGCAACTCTGGAAAAGAGAGAGATTTAAATGGTGTTCTTTAAATGTAATTGCAACAAACAAGAATAGGCCTATTTAAACTCTGAACATGCGCACATTATCATCTTGGCTACTTTTTTTGTGGAAGGAATGAAAAGGTACATGTGAGGATGAGGGGGTTCTTGGGCAGGCGAGTGTGGGGACAGTGAAAGCAGAGCCTCAGTGAGGAAGACTCCGAAACTTAGCAGCCTGCCTGGGCCTGCAGCAACCCTTGAGACTATCTTCTTCCTTTTGCTTCAAAGAGAAGGTCAGAGGCAGAGTGCTCAAGCTCCATTGAGTTTGCAGTAGGCAAGCATCATGGTGCAGGCTGCTCCGTCTTTCCTATTTGGTGCTAGCACTAAGCTGATGTCTTTCTTAACATTTACAAGCTTCTGAAAGCGTGCTTTAGCTCCTAGGGAAAGGATGCATCTGTGGTTTTGGTAACTAGTTATCAAGGCCAAAATGGAAATGGAAAGGAAAAAGGCAATTCATCCACAAATACAGCATGGAATAATTAATACTCCTTAGAAAACACTTAACAAAGGAAAGCAAATAATTAACTCTTCCTTATTGGTTTAGAAATTACCTGTGCAGCTCAGAATGGCTGCTTTTGTTTGCGTGTACATTGTTGTAAAGTGAAGGAGGAGGTAAAGTCGCCTTTTAATAAAATATACGTATTAGGAGACTGTGTTTTCAATAACAAAGTAATGCAAATTTTCTGCAATTTCTATAGTGGCAATTCTGCAAGTTATATTATTCAAAGGGGCATAAATAAACCTTTTCTTCTTTTCTTCTATGGGTACCATTCTTACAAAGTCACTGAATTGTCTCCTGCCTCCAGTTATGTGGTGACACGGAGGAACAAGAAATCATTTCACCTTTCTCCTGCTCCTCCTAGTGAAAGAACAGTCACAGCATTGTTTCTGAGTAAAATGTATTGTCTTCAGTGCCATGCCTTCACTTTCTCCATCTATTCTAAATGGCATGGTCACCTGAGTTCTCCTAATGTGGCTTGTCTTGAGACGTCTGCCCTGGCCACTTTTTAAAAATTACTTTGTTCACTGTTATGATTTTGTGTGTGATGGATCATATGTGCCATGGTGTGTGTGTGGGGGGGGTCAGAGGTCAACTTCATGTGGACAGTTCCCGTCTTCCATCTTTACTTGGGTTCCTGGGATGGAACTCGGTTCCTCAGGCTCACACTGTTAGGCAGCAAGAACCTTTACCTGCAAGGCTGTCTTGTTGGCCCTGATCATTTCCCCCCTAGATACAGTCCACTGGGTTAAAGGTTCTCCTAAATTGTGATTCCCTTGAGTTCAAGTAAGAGACTTGTGTTCAAAACAAATTGCCCCCCCACACACACACACACACACTGTGGACTTCTGCCACTCATCAGTCAAGCTCTGCACTGTTGCTAGGTTTCTCGTTCATCAGTGTCACTGTTGTTTTCTAAGCTATTGCTCTGCAGTGAAACACAGATGTGGAAGTCAGAATGGAAAGTGATTTTTTTTTTCTTCTTGTTCTTGTAGCTGTATGGCCCTGAGCAAGTTATGCCACCTCCTTGAGTTTTCATTTTATCATCTCTACAGTTGAGCTAACAATAACGTTCTATGAAGTTGCTAGGGAACCAAATGAGTTACTAACATTTACCTGGCTGGCACCGCACCAGAAGCATGAAGACT